TTGATTGATACTTTTACATGATCGATCAAATAGAGATTTTTTTTTCTCCCTGTGTACTTCTTTCTTTTTTTGCTTAAATGCTCGAAGTATTGTACCTCAACAAAACAAAAGAAAAAAAAACTCCAAAAACAAAAAAACAAATTGATCGACAAGTTCCGGAAAAGAACAGAAAAAAACAGATCCATATCATCACCGAGACGGATGTAATGAAGATGAATGATGATATTGTCCACCATTTGTTGTCCGACTATTATTATTTAATGAATAATCAAGTATATCCATTGGTTTTATAGTTGTTGGTGTTGTTGATGATGATGATAGATGAAGTAGATTTTCATTCGGTGATGTCAAAGTATTTATAATAGGTGTTGGAAATTTTGTTTCATTTGTTTGATAATGATATAGATTTGTTGAAGGTAGTGGAGGGGAGGAAGAAGATGATGATGATTTCGTTGTTGAGGAACGACGTGCATCAAGAATATTTTTTACAGTTGAGTCACTGGTACCATTAGATGATGGACAAGTATTATTACTGTTCAAACTAGATGAAAATGAAAAGAAATGAAAATATTTGATAAAAAAATTCTCAATTACCGAGTTGGTGTAGTTGATATATCTTTATTGTTCGATACTGCTGTTGTAGTCAATGTTTGTTGTGGTATAAATGGACTGAATTGTTGGAAGAGCATTTGTGTTGGCCATGTAGGATTTGATATATCTGAATTAGTTAGAAATGAAGATGATGATGACGATGATGAAGAATGTAGATTATTTCCATTTTCATCAATTTTTCCATTTGTTGCTGTTAAGAGATTAATAGTTGACGGTGGAAGTGGTTGTTCATTTGGTGTTGGTTCTTCATCAGATATATCAGAATATGCTGGTGAAGATGAAGTCGGTGGTGGAGGCGGTGGAGGAGGAGGTGTTGGAATCTTTGAACGTTTTTTATTATTATTTCGATCTTTTTTTATATTTGAATCGAGAAAAGATGTTGTTAATGAGTTATTTTTAATAGTTGGTTCATCTTGGATATGTAATAGAAAATGATCAGCTGGTTTCACTGAAGATTTTACTTCATCTTGATCGATATTATTTTTATTCTCGAGAATATTCATTTCAGTATTGTTTAATTTACACCTAGAAAGAAATCATAAAAATTCTTTTTTTATATGTTTCATTATTCTATTTTAATTAACATAATAATAAGGATTCATAATGAAAAGTAAATTTATTCTTTTCTTTTCTTTTCTTTCGTTTAACAAACCTTGTAGAATTTGGTGATAGAGTTCGTTCAGTATGATTTAATGGTGATGATAAAACAAGTTTTGATGATATTTGTGGACATGGCCATGTTAATGTTGATGGCGAACAATTTTCTAATGTTTTTATATTTGATGGTGGAGAATTAACAATAGCTGGTGATGGAATTGCTTGTCGATGATGTTCAGGTGAACAACGTATAGATGAAGGTGGAGAAGTACGACGTACATAATCAGCAACATTAGCAAGAATATGTGCAACATCTTCTTCATCACGTGTATTAGCTTGTGGAATAATTGATGTTGTTTCAGGTTTTTTATGTGCGTCACTTAAATGATAATTAAGTGCAATATTTGAAGCAAAACGTTTATGACATTGAGGTTCTGAACATGAGATTAATTGAGGTTCACTAGTAGTTGTTGTTGTTGTTGCTGTTGCTGTGGTGGTTGTTGTTGTTGTTGATGATGATGATGATGTTTCAGTAGAAAAAAATGTTGGATTATTTGCTCGAAATGGTGATGTTAATGGTGACGAATTATTCGTTGTTTCTTCCGTTATTGTTGTTGAAAGATTATTTAAACGTTTCGATTGTCTAGATTTAATATTATTACGAAGTTTACGATCATCTATTCCGATTGTTAGAGTATTCGATGCTATTTGTTGACATAAAGATACTGCATGTTGATTTGAACATCGATTATTTCCACCGGCACCAGTACGTTTTGATCGACTAGTTTTATTAGTACTTCGAGCATCATAATCACTCGTTGGTGATTCACATGTTAATCTAATTAATGTTTCAGGGGAAAAACTAAATTTTTTTTTTAATAATATCTTTTATTTTCTCTTACCTTGGACAAGCCCAATCTTGTTTTGTTGAATCAAGTAATGTACCGACATAAGTTTTACCTCGCCATGTGACATTAACGACGAGTACACCTGAAGAAAAAATATATACATACAATATTTGATTTCTTTTTCTCTTTCAGTCTAAGTAAGATTAAATCTGTAATATACAGGTAATATAATTAATATAAAAGAAGAAAAAAAAAGTTTTTCATCTTTTAACAATTGATGCGTGTGATTAATTGATTTCATATCTTTATATGTAACTGTTAATTGAGCTGGAAAATAGAAATTAGTTGATAGATACTATCAAGAAAACAAGAGTTGCTGTTCGTCATGATGATAAGATTACATATAAATATATATTTATATATATATATATATATACATTGTATTATGACGATAAATTCTAGAAGTTTACCAACGATATATAGAAACAGAAACAGCAACATCTGTTTCGTCTGATTATTTATTGCTGATGTTTTAGCATATACGCACTCGTGTATGTTTATTATTATTATTATTATTATTATTATGAAGTACTGCTACTTCTTTCTTCTTTTTTTTTATATGATTACTACTGTTACTTACCGCTGTCGGTTTCATTCCAAACGATGCCTTCTAAAACGACGCTTGTACCCTACAGAAAAGAAAGAAAAAATGGAATGAATGAATACATTATTGAAAGGAAATGAGATTTAACGAAAAACAACATACGGGCTCACAGGGACCAAGATGATCAGGTTCAGTTGCCAAACCAACAGAGACTGTTTCAACACAGGCATCTACTTTGGTTGAAGACGATGAGTGCTTAATAAAACAAACAAAAGAAAAATAAAGAAATGATGTTTTTTTAATATATATATATATATATATATATAAAGCGGATTTCATCATCAGAAGTAAAGTAAATAAATAAAAGAAATAAAAATAACTACTATAAAAATTCAAAGACAAAAAATCAACAATTTAACATACATTTAAATCATCTCGTTTAAATCGTTTTGATGCAGAAATATCATCAATATTTGACGTTAAATCATTATTATTATTATCAATTGTTACAGAACGTTTTGTTGCTTGTTGTTGTTTACCATTAAATGCAGGTGACGACGGACGACGTGTTGCTGTTGTATTGGGTAATGAGGTACGTTTTAAACGTTGAATATTTGTCGAATGAGAATTATTATTATCTTCTTCAGACATATGTGATGAAGTAGAACTAAGATCGTTTTGTTGTTGTTTTGTAGTATGCCGCTTGATTTTAAGTACGAGCGGAGAAGATGGTGATGAACTATTGTTCATGTCATTTTCATTTGATATTTGAGATTGTTGTTGTTGGGATTTTGTTGACGTTATTGTTGTTGGACGTTGTTCGATGAGAAGATTCATCGTATGATGACGATGACGAGACGGCTCATGCTGTTGCCTTGCTTGGTCTTTGTATGTGTATATGTGTGTTTGTTGGGTGGTCCTATAACCGGGCAGAGAGTGAGAGAGAGAACAATAACAAAAGCACAGAAGGGAGAGAGAGAGAGGAAAAGGAGAAGAAGAAAATAACGCACGTATTGGCAATTAAGGACGGGCTCGGATTAGAAGAAAACGAAGACGAAGAAGAAGAAGAAAGAGAAGAAGAGAAGAAAGTCATATTACGGACTGTTGCTGCTGCTGCTGCTATTACTGCTGCTACGATCTATTCCCTTCCCTTCTTTTTCTGCTTTCTATCGACGGGTCAGTCTATTTCACATTTGTGAAGAACAAAGAAAATATTAACATGACGAGAAGAAGAAGAAGAAGAAGAAAAGGCCGTTCGTCGTTCTGCACACACACATACTCTATTCAGGGCTACGTTTGCTTACAGAGAGTGATGATCGTCGTCGTGTCGTTTTTTTTTTTCTTTTTTCTTATTCTTTTTCGTCTCCAGAGAAATGAATGTGCCGATGCAAAAGATATATTTTTCTTCTTCTTTTTCTTTCCTATCGTTCGTTCGTTCGTTCTTTCGGTCTCGTCCGAAGGGAGAAAAAAAAAGAAAGAAAAATGTGGGCTCTCACTCGCCTTTTTGATGTCTATCTTACGCGCATACACTCGCGCGTTTGTATGTTGTTGAAAGAGTTTCGGCCGGGCACACGTTCTTTACTCGTTCGTTTGCTTGCCTTCCTCCTTTCCCTTCTTCTTCTTCTTCTTTTTTTCCTTTATATTTTTAGCTAACACACATACACGCAAATGGATTCGAAGTCTACATATGCCATTGCTCTTGCTCTCTTCCGCTTTCTCATCTTCCCATTTCCATCTCATCACCGTCATTGTCGACAAGCTGCATCGGATTATGATGGCAAATTCGTAGCTATATACTAGCGACGATAAGTTTATGTTTATATATATATATATATATATGTCTATGGGCAGAGAAACACTCTAGTCTCTCTCTCGTTTCTTTCTTTTTCTTTCTCGTCTTTTTTCAAGAGATTCTCAAAACATATTGAGTGAAGCCTTGTTTTTAATTGACATCTCGATTTCTTCCATTTCGAGAGGGCAATTTTGCAAATATCGAAAAAGAAAAACTGAATTTGATACTGCTTCTGATCTCGTTGTCTCAATCAATGTATGTATGTGTACTATGTAAATATGTCTATTAATCGCAGTAGCGATGGTTTATATGAAGATAATGATGTTTTTTAAACTATACGTGTATATACATATATAGAGAAGACAGAGAGAGAAGTGATAGATTCTATTTATATAACCTTTTCTCTTAGACAAGCTATTTGAATGATGAACTTCATATCAAGTTCTTTTTTGTCCTAATAATCAGACTTGACAATATATGGAAGCAATATTATATATATATTGAATAGTTTGGTCGTTCATACAAATCGATATATGATTTTAATGTGAATATATACATATGCAATCATTGTTTGTCACTATTCAATGTAACATTGATCATAATCGAAAAAAAAAAGAAGAAATGTGAAGAGCGGAAATTACATAATGTGGAGAAAAATTTCCTATTATGAACAAGCACGCACACCTCATTGACAAAAGAGGTTGGATAATATGATAGACTTGACTTGCTTGACAGATTATGAAAGAGAAAGAAAGAGGGAGAGAGAGAAAGAGAAAAAAATTGTCCTATCCACTTGAATTAACAACAACAACGACGACGACATCATCAAAAATTCTATATATAAACAAAATCATGATTCATCAGTTATTTTTTCGTTTTGCACATGAATGAAAATGAATTAAGTGAACACAAGATGAAGGCTAAACATATTTTTCATTGTCATATAAAGATAAATGTATATTCCTTTTTGCTTTTCTTTTTCTTATTGTTTGTTTGATGATTATACACAAATAATTGTAGTAGTAGTAGTAGTAGTATTAATAGTAGCAAAGGAAGAGACAGAGAATAAATTTACATAAAGATTATAGGTCTCTTTCTCTGGGAATATAGAACATCCGACTAGAATAGATAAACTGAACGAAAGAATATATACAACAACAATAACAAGAACAACAAACAAAAAAAAAAAAGAAAGGAACCAATTTTTACTAGACATCAGAGCACCTTGTCACATATGTTTTGAAGAAAGGAAAAGAAAAAAAAGTACACACATACACACAAATAATTGAGTATCTGATCAAACACATATATAAGTTAGCGTGACGATTTAGACAAAGAAGATGATGGAGAAGAAGAACATGCAGATGGAAAACGGGGTGCTGTCAATGGATTAAAATAAAGCTGTGGAGGAAGTGGGAGATAAGATGAAGGAGAAATAGCAGATGACGATGATGGTGATAGTTTATTTTTATTAGTATTACTGTGTAATGATGATGTTGGTGAATGATGATGAGGATGAAATGGTGATAAACCAAATGAATTCGGTGGTCCATGTAGAAATGGAGATGGTGGTGGTGGATAATAACTGGATGGATTAGCCGGCGGCGAAAAAAGCAAACCATTATTAAACGGATGTGGTGATAATAGAGAAGGTGGTGTTGATAGTGTTTCTTTAGTTTTTGATTTCGATGTTTTGTTTGTGAATGAAGATAAAAATGATGGAGTTATTGATGGTGATGGTGTTTGAATAATTGAATTATAGGATGATGAATTATCTTCGATTTTCATTGTTGATCGAGAATTTGATAAATCAATTGGTATAGATGGTATTGATTGTTCGATAGTATCTGTTGTTTGTGGTAAAGTCATAGGTTTTTCTTGAATTGATGGTGGTGGACTTGATGATGTTGTACTTCCACCGCTTGTTGTTGGACTAACACTTCGACTTGAACAATTATCACCTGTTTCATCATCAACACCATTTCTAACTAAAGTTTTTTCTTCTGATATAGAATTTGTATCATCTTCATCATTAACACTTGTTGATGATGATGATGGTGCACCACTACCAGTATCAATAAGTTTTTCTGTTGTTGATGTTTCATCATTTTTCGATGGTGGTGCTTCAGGAATTTTAAATGAATTAGATCTTGTTGTAGCTGTTGTTGTACTTGGTGTTACTGTTGTATATGTACCTCGACGTTTACCATTACGTAAAATTCTTTCAGCTGGTTCATTTGTTGAAGAATTTGAATTTGATTGTAAATGAATAGCTGATTGTGAAGATGATGCTGTTGCAGTTAATAAATAATCTCGATTATGATTATGATGATGATTATGACGATTATGTTTTGTTGTTCGAACATCAGATTTATAACTATTAAAAAACAAATAAAAACATCGATGAGTTTTAAATGACAATAAGATTGATTATTCTTTCTTTTCTTTTTCTTTTTTATTCTTTTTTTTCTATTTTAAAATGGTCTGTTCAAGTGAGACAAAGAGTGAGTTCGAGTAGACTCTTATAGAACGTCGCATAAAGTGAGACTCTTCATGACATACATATTCCTTTTTTTCTTGCTTCTCTTTGCTTTTATTTATGATTAAAAAGGAATTGCCTTTAAGGCAATACTTACCGAGGTGGAGCCCAATTTTGTTCAGTTGTATTAAGCAATGCACCAACATAAGTTTTGCCTAAAGCATATTATATTTAATGAAACCTAACACACATAAAAAAGAAAGAAAAGTACTTACCTCGCCAGGTGATATTAACAACGAGCACACCTAGAAGATAATAGACTTTTATGCAAAATCCAATAAAATATAAATAACATTTTTTCTTTACCTTTATCTGTTTCATTCCAAACAATTCCTTGTAAAACAACATTAGTACCTGGTTCACATGAACCAAATGAGGATTCATCAGTTACAGATGATTGATCAACGGTTTTTGGTTGTATTTGATGATTATTATCATTATCATTAGTTGAAGATTCATCGTTAGTATTTGTTTCATTATTAATTGATCGTTGTTTTTTCTTTAAAGACAAAAAAAAAAGAATGCATGAATTAATTGACAGATTTACACATTTAATCTGTCTCTTTAAGATAAGTGTTGTATGACGACAACGATGAATAGCAGACAGATATAGGACAGGACAAGAAGAAGAAATAAAGCAGCTGCGCGCACATACACATATATAGAGTATGTATGTATGCAAAGAGAAAAGTAAATAGGGCGAACGCACACGCATACACGCACACATCAAGATATCATTATCCCTCGGGGATGCCGCGCGCGCGAAAGAGAAATAGAGATTGAATTTCCGTTCTGTCTTTCACGCTTCAATTGTATTCTATACAATATATATTACCTTTTTCTTACTGGCTGGTTGTTGTTGTTGATTGTTAATATTGTCATTATTATTATTATTATTAGTAGTATTATTATTATTCGTATTTATCGTATCATCAACAATATTAAGTTTACGTTTGCGTGATGATGATGATGATGATGTTTTAGTTGTTTTAACTTTAACTTCAACAGTAGTTGTAGTTGTAGTAGTTGTTAATAAAGTTGTATCATTTTCATTGTCAATGGATGCTGATAATTGTTGTTTCATTGTTGTCATTGAATTATTACAATCAATAGATTTTTTTTGTATATGATTATTTTTTTCATCAATTTGCTCTGGTAATATTGTATTTGAATGAGTTAATAAATCTGTTTTATTATTATTATTATTATTTCGTGGAATTGTTAAACGAAGACGTTTTGCGGAATCAGTTTGTGATGATGGTGAAGAGTTGATCATCATCATATTAGATAAAAACAAATGTCATCTAAAAAACAATGTAGGCAAACGTAAGCACTAAACATGATAAGAGAGAGAGACAACTCTTCATACACAAAAGCAGCTGGACTTTTCATGCTGACTTGAATATATATATATATACACTGCAAATGATTGCCTTTGCTTTCTTTTCTCTCTCTCTCTCTCTCTCTCGCCGCCACTACTGCAAAAGAATAGCCACTTCACGCACACACACACACACACACACACTTCGCTCTCTTCTTTCCTTCAACACAAACATAATTTATAGATCTACTCGTTTCTTGCGCTCTCTTTCTTTCTCCTATACGTATTTAACGCTTGTCGCGCACTTGAGTGTGTACAATTACAGATTCGCTAGCCTTCTTTTTCTGTCGTTCATCGTGTGATAACACACACATACGTATATGTATATGTATATATGTATATACATATACATATACACGATGAACTCTCCCCCTCCTCTTCTTCTGTTCGTTCATTCATTACTACAATCAATGCTTGCAGACGTATAACATAAGCAATAGAAAAGCAAAAGGGAGGAAAAAAAATGAGAGGAAAAAAAAATCATCAAACGACGCGAATGATTAGAATAACAATCGACATCAAGTGCGTGTGTACGACAGGAGACAGACGGCGGATGAACGACAGGGAATTCACTTAGCACGGAGGAGTGAACAAGTGAGAAAGAACACCCTCTTCTTTTCTCTATGTCGATTAGCAAGCTCTGTTGCCAGAAGGCATAAAGTAACAGCTTCTTTTTTATACTAGTAGACATTTTAAATCATCGAACAAATATTGAATTTCAATCTTACCCATCTTCTATTGCTCATAAAGTACGATATGTCTTGCTGTTCGTATTGTAAGCTTTATAGTTATTAATGTGCGAAAAAATATAAATATATAAATATATATATGACAGGGAACAGAACACAAGCTTGCATATACAAATCAAGGTGAGATTGAAAAGATGAATGATGAGTGGCTAGATGGATGAGGTGTATAATCATTGTTGTCGTTTGAGCGACAAATTGTAAGTGTATGTGTATATAAATGTGTGTGTATATGCGCGACGACAACAATAGATGCATCTATCGTCGTCGATTACATCACATATTGAACGGATTAGCTTTAGTAGTTATTGTATTGGCGCCTCCCGTGACATTTCATTCCTTTGCTGCTGTGCGATTTCGCATAGGCACGATAAATTGGTTGATTAAATATTGACTGTACACACATTGATGAGAGAATAAGAGAAAGACATGATGGCAACATGACAACGAATAAGAGAAGTCACTATGCCGCAGGGGGTTTCTCTCGAACTGAGCGACAAACATCATGCATGCCGATGTTGTTGATCTTTTGATGTCGATGACACTAACATGCGCTTGGGCGCTAATTACGACAGCTTTCCGCAGTAAACAAGCTGCTCTCATTCACTCACTCACTTATTCTATGGAACGACGACTAATACTACTCTTCCGCTAGTCAGAACGCACATACTGTTACTCTCTACGTCATACGCTTACATTCACTTATTCATCCAATGTTAAATGACTTTTTATTATTGTCGAACAAAGAAATAAGAAAAGAAAAAAAAATAGAAGTAGACGCACGCACATACTCACACAATTATCATTGTCCGACATCGATTATGTATGTACATAAATATATATATATATATATATATATGATAGTCTTATTTCATTCAAAGATCAAATTATACACACCGAATAGATTTCAGTCTTTAGGCTCAATAGGAAACATACGCGAACAAGGGACAAGAAGTACTCCGACGGGGTTTGGATAATGTGCACATCGTGTAAAAAGAAAGAAGAGGAGAAAAAAAACGACAATGACGGCAACGTGTGTGCATGTACTATTACCCTTCACTACTCTATAGCTGTTAGACAGAACAGAATCAACGCAAAGAAGGAAACGAGCGCGAGCGCACACATATACACAGGCAAACACATTGCTCGCGAGACGACGACGACGACGGAAAGGGCGAGGATGAAGATCAAAACCAACCGGGTAAAGACATAAAGAACAACGAATACGATGGGTAGAAGAAGGCGGGCGATGTGGTGTCAACACACAGATGATGATGATGATGATGATGTTACTACTATCGCTTCTACTCAAGGGAGTCGCATCATTTCACACTTGAAAGCCAATTGACACCTCTTAGAACGCATATATTAATGACAGACAACATAGACATTTACGTATTGAAAGAAAAACGATGAAACTTAATTTAGTTGAACAACAAATCTTTTTGATAAATGAAAGCACATATATATATGTGTATATATAAAAGCATATATATAAGTAATTAGAGAATACATAGCATCTGCCTCAAATAAGACCAGTCAATTTCTATATGTTTCCACCGAACAGTCATTACGTGCATGCCCTTTAACACGATTGACAGACAGACACAAGGTACAAGTATCTCTCAAGAGACATGATTCGAATATCAAAGAAATTAGTTATCGTCCGCTTCAGCCTTGAGGGGCGAGAAAGAGAGAGAGAGGGAGAGCTTTGTATGTATACACATATATATATATATATATATATATATTTATGCGGATACATGCTAACATATCGAATGATGATGATGATGACGACAATGTATTAAAGAAGATTGTATGTATATGATGTATTGCACAATCGTCTTTTTCTACGTATGTTTGTACAACAGTATGTAGTAGTGCCTTTTATTGATGAAAAGAAAGAGAAGAAAATATTGACTCAAGGAAAGAAAAGACAAACAGGTGATAAAGAATAGTATACTAAAATTCAACAGCAATAATTAATTAGCGGTTACTATACACATGATATCTTGTCATCGTTGTCGTTGTCGTCTTCGTTCTCCTATATATTTTCTCTCGGTCACCCCTATCGCTTTACATCAAAAAAAGGGAGAGAGGAGAGAAGAGAAGAGAAGAGAGGAGAGGAGAGGAGAGCTAGGGGGAGAAGGAGCAATAGAGCGCTCGTTTGCCGTCGTATTTATAACATGAAACGGAAAGAAAAGAAAGAGAGAACTCCATTTATGTGGATAAACGAGGATTTGATGAAATATGAGCTATGCGTGCATATGTGATGGAAAAAAGAAGAAACAGAAAGATGTGCTTTTCATTGCAATTAATCAAACGAGAACAGGCAAATGATGACGGCTGAACGAATAACGACCGGGAACGCAGTACAAGCTTTATCCTGTTTTCTTCACTTTTTTCTCTTGGGAAAGTGTTGTAATATGGTAACTCATTAAGTTCAACAATTATAAAATGAAGGAAATGACGAAGAAGAATAGGAGAAAAAAAAGAAAAGATCTTTCATGTGTTGTATGCGTGTGTTTGAATGATGATGATGATCGACGGAAACGAGTACAGCTAGTCAATACTAATCTTTAGCCTTATAGTATGTATCTATTTACCAGTATGTATGCGCGATAATATGATCTTTGCATACGAGAGTAAAAAAAGACGAGAAGACAAAGTAAACTGCTCGTCGCTATCAAACAATTGAATCTGATCAAGAAGTGCAGCTTGCAACAACACAAACACACATACACACGCATATATACACACTGTTCACAATGAATAAAAGAGAAGAGAACGCACGAGAGCGCTCACTGGAAATGCAAAGTTAATTGCTACTGTTGTGTGTTACTGCATCTCTCTTCTCTTTCTGATTCCCGAGAGAATTGTCGTCTCGTTCTCTCGTCATCTAATAGAATATTCGATCATCATCTCTCTTTTAACGAAATGACACAAATCGAATTGGACTGCTTGTATACTGACTGACTGTTACTAATCAAAAGTATAGCAATCTACGTTTTTCTAATTTGCCCGCCAGTTATAAATGCATACACACCTTTATATAGCGATTATAAAATGTGCATTCAACTGTGTTTGATTAGCAACTCTAATGATGAGAGCAACTGTAAACAGTAGTAGCAGTAACATATAACATAGAGAGAAAGAAAAAAAAACGACTCGTCGTCCTCGTGATTGATCTTATCGTTTTGCATGCGACGCGTAAAAAAGAAAGAGAAAGTGAAGTGTAGTTAAGAAGGATGAGGGCCACCAACAGAGAAGAAAAAAAAAGATAATCGGACCAAAATGTGCTTTTTCTTTGCTTACGTCAATATGTATGAACGACAGATGAACAGGTGGAGAAAACGATGATGACGATTAAACATCTATACAATTTGAATAGAAAAAAAAAGAAAGCTAGATAAATGTATATGTATTATACATTTCACCCCCACCGACCGACTGACTGACGCCTGCGGCGATGACCAAGATGAAAATGATTAACATTCACTCAAATAATGAGTCAGGCTGTCCGCATGTATGTATGTGGCATGTGATGATGATGATGATGATGATGATGACATGCAATAGCAAAGCAAAAGAAAGAGATAGATCACGTACATGACAATGACAACAGAATGAGAATAGTATATAATAAAAGTCAGTAAAGGCTTCTTATTTCAATTGTTATTGCCCGATTCTTAAAAGAAATCAACTTCTTCTTTCCGAGAGTTTTATATACGTTTAAAATATACTGTTCAATCAAGCCATGGAAATGTAAAAAAACTACAAATATAATCTTTTCATACGAGAAAAGAAAACAAACGTTTTATTTCTTTTTCTTTAGAAGACATAAAAAAGAAAACAATAATAATAATAATCTCATTTTTTTGTTATTCTCTCTCCTATGCATTTTTTTACTAGTTTAGTATAGAGAAAAAAAAGTTTTTTTTTTTTTTTCATTCATGCAAAACATATCTCATCAAGTGGGAGAAAGAAATGAAAATCACATGAATCAACACGCACATACAACATGATTACAGATGAAGTCGTCGCATCGTTGCGCGCACATACACACAGCGCTAAATTCAACACATAAGAACAACTAGCTAACGCACATTCACAGCAGTCAGAAAAAGAGAAAAAAAAAAAGAAATGCATGCCGATAATGAACTATTTTCAATCGAGCACAGCCTACGGATGGAGGTCACGCAATGTACCACCCTCATATATATATATAGTACTAAGCAATGATGCTTTTCCGTCCTCTCAACAGATCAATAAATCAGATAGATTCATCATTCTTCGTTTTTTTTTCTTCTCGAATGTGTACATAGAAAAAAAAAAGAAACAAGCAAGATACAATCATTAAATGTAAACATATCTTGATATGTATATATTATATACCGTTGCATTTTTGATGTTAATCTTGTCTATTTTCTATAAATTTCTTTGACCTTGTGTATACGACGAAAATGAAGTGTTAATAAATTTCTAAATATTTTCTTTCTTATTATCAAAGTCGTTTTAATGAATTAAAAGAAACGACATAAGTGTTATTAATAAATCGGATAGAATAGAAATTATCATTTAAGCAGATTAAATAAGAATAAAGTTTTCACTTCAACAATTCTATATAGAAAAAAAAGAAAATGCGTAAAAGTTAAACACAAAGGAAAAGAGATATATATATTCAAATAATTCTATGAAAATATCATGTATGCTTGGATTAATTAATCAGGATTTTTTTTTCATTACTATATATCATCATTAATGAATAAATAACTGAGTATATTATAAATCATATTGAAAAAGTCGAAAGTGAAAATGTGAAAGAATTTTTTTTCTTCTCTTTCATCAATTTGCTTGTTAGATTAGCGGTTTTAAATTCAATTCTTCATAAATGTCATGCATTTACAATAGTTCAACATCCGAGAATTACTAGTCAAGTATATATCAAACCAGGAAACAAACCGAGAATCACGAGTTCGCTCATTTCCGCTTCTGTCATTTTTAAAAGCGAGACATATTTTGCCTGAAGACAACTGTTGTAATTTGACTAACGGGTAATTAATAATATGTGTCAATTGAAACCAAAAATTTTTCTATATTCGATCATTATCATAACTTGACTAAAGTAGTCAATAATTTTGAAATGATTATACTGAATTATATATGAATGATTAAATATAAGATTCTGTCATCTTATTACAAAAATCTATCCATGATCAACAATAAATTTACTCGTCTAGAATACTCGAGATCGATCTCTTCTTTCGTATAAATTTGATAAAAATCTTCTATGTTAAATAAATGACATATCATCAATTTCATACTCATAAAAAAAAATACAATATTAAATATTATCTAACTTACAAACACAAAAAAAAAGTTTTTTTTATTTATTAGAAGATTGAAACATCAAAATATATTTTATTGAATAGAAAAACTTTGCACTATCATGATCAAAAATACTCCATATGTTTCTACTCTCACACCTCTTTTTTTTTGAATCGATATATAATAAGTTAATAAATATGCTTCTCATCACTAAATTTGACTGAGAAAAAATTACCAAAAAATGAAATTAACTCTCGTCATATTTATGAGTCTTTTCACTCTTATATTTGCTACACCAATCTCTACAGAAAAGCCCCCATCAATTATCGATTCATTATCTCAATTATTATATACTCATTTAAATCCGATCTTTCAAAATACTCTTCAACAACTTATTGAATTAGTTTTTAAATTTGGTGAAAGAATTTTTGAAAATATTCAATCAAGATTAGCACGTTCAGCTCCACCTATACCAGCACAATGGGTTCAAGAATTATTTGGAGAAGTTAATTCAGTTGCAACTCAATGGAATCAACATGTAACACAATTCTTTTCAAATATTCCAACTATATTTGAAAAACATGGTCGAAGTTCAATTAATTTTTCATCAATTAAACAAAGTTTATACGATGCTATAGCAAGTCTCTTAGATAAACTGAAAAAATTATTTGTTAATGATATAAATCAAATCTTTATTTTACTTATTAATAAATATAATTTAATGGAATCTATGAGTCGTACATATAATGATTTATTAAATGTTTTTCAACAACAAGTATCAAGTGTATTTGATAAATCACAAGAACAATTAATTGATAATATCAATATTGCTATTAATTTTATTGTATCATTGTGGAATGATGTAAAAACTCAATTAATTGGTTAAAGTATTTTGAATTATTGAATCGAAAAAAAAAGAAAGAAATTATTTATTTGAAGAACGATCGATATTACCTTCGATACTAATTTATGAAGATGAAATAAATGCAAAAAAAAAGATAGTTGGATTTAGACTTTTTATATTTCAGAATTAGTACTAAATTTTCTTAGTTGTAATTTATAGATTGCCATGTTTAATAATAATATCATGGAATTAAAATAAAACAGCTAAAACGGCTAACGGTCAACTAAATGTCTGTGCGTTACCGTTTTCGTCATTTTGCTACATTTTTAGACTTTATATAAAACATTGTGAAAAACTGGAAGACAACTTATTTTGTATACAAAAGTGTGCTTGTCAAAATCCATACGAACCTCAATTGAAATTGATGAGCTACCTTTTTGGTCTAATGAAATTTTCAATAGCCTCATTCCGCTGGAAATTGGGTTAAGCCTATCAGAAAAACCACTGCAACGGAAACCGATTATATATTTTGAAATCAGTCTCAATTAGGCTTTAAAGAGCATACTCTTAGCTATAAATTGAGATATCTCTCAACTTCCCATGGGCTCTCATTCATCTGTTATAACTTCAGCAAAAAGTAACGCACAGACACGTTAGCCGTTTCGGTTGAAGACATCTGTATTTTGAGTATTACTTTTCGTAATGACGAAGAATTTAGTGTCATTTGTTACATTACTTCAAGTCTCATAAAATGATACATATGTATTTCAATTTCGATACGAAGTCAGAGTCTTTCCTTTTAGCTATTATATCATTATAATACTTTTATTTGTTACACGAAAGACGATGTTTTATGAATAATATAATTTCTATATTCTAAATATAAACGCAAGTAACATCACAATATATCCAAATGATACTTTCAAATATGATAATAACTATATAAAAAATAAATAATACAGATATAGTGTCGAATTATTTAACAAATAAACTGGTTTTGTATAGATCGAAATTTATCCAATCATCTTTTCTTTATGTTACTAGGGTCAAAACAACATTGTCTGTTGCCATTATGCATGTATATCAAGGGAAGAAAGCACTCACAGTTCAAAATAGACTTTTTTAAAAGCATATGAAATTTTAAATAAAATTATTGTCCTATAGAATTCCTGTTAAAACAATATTATAATAAACTATCAATTATTAAATTATATTTCGAAGTTCTCCAGTAGTCTATTTGATTCAAAAAATTTCAGAATATTATGAAATATTGATTGTTTTTCTTTACACATACATTTCAGTTTTAAGTTTTTACGAGTAGAAAAAAAAAAATAACATTTTGTGTTTTTCAAAAAATAAAAAAACATCGTCGTCATAGAATTAAATACAACAAAGTTTATTTATTTATCTATCCACTTCAATTAATTTCATCTTTTTCATTCCACCATCGTATGACATAAAGCTTTATTTTTCTTTCATCTACAATATACATTAATAAGAGTATCATATTGATGTAAACAAGATGCACTTTATATTCAATCTATTTTTAATACTTCAATAATAAAACTTGTTTTTTTTTCTTTTTTTTTAAATAATATTTCTCAAAGATAAGCATCTTGTTTATTAACTGAACACATACAAGTATTACTAGTTTTTTCAACGAAATTTAAAGAAAAATAAAGATTTTATACTGAATAAACTTTTAATTTATATGAATAACCAAAGATCTATTCATTTTATTTATAAAACGATGCTAATCTTCCCTAGATCTTAAAATAAACATCGTAATAAATATGAAAATATTCTTTTTTCTTCTTCTTCTAATAATGACAGCAGTTATTCTTTATCTGAATACTACATAAATCAGCAGCAATTCTTAAACACGCAATATACAAACTAGAATAGTTTGACGTCATCAGAAAAAAAACGAGAAGCAGAATATAATTACAGAGTAAGAGATTCATATAAGAAGCCTTATTTAAGATTATAAATATAAATTGCATTATTAATATGGTATATAAAGTAATGACGTTCAAGTATAATAAGATTTCTTCTTTATTTGGAAAGAAAAAAAAAACCGTAAAAGATGAACATTCTTTTATTTGACTGTATAAAATAAAAACAAAGTTTGTTAATGATCTAACGTTTATTTAAGCGTTTTTCTAGTGCTTTTGAACGTTGTCGATCAATTTGTTCCATTTCGCGTATTTTCTATAATGTAAAAAAAAGAATAAATGAAATAAAAATATATATTTTTTGTTATACTAACATCAGCAATTTCATTAGAAATAATTTCTTGATATTCTTTTCGTTTACCCAGAAGTATCATTTGTTCAAGAAATTCTTTTCTCTCTTCAATTTCAAGCACCACTAGAATATTTTAATAAATTTATATTATCATAGAACTATTTCTTTTATGTATATACATTCATCAAATCGGTCAATTTCATGTGAAGATGATAAATGTTCAGCTGGTTCATAGGGCATTTTTGATGGATCAATACCATATGCCATTAAATTTCCTAGACGATCTTTTTCGTAATCAGTACGACCTTCTGTAAAAACCAAAAGGAAAGTTAATCAGTAAATAAAAGAACTAAATTTATATTTAAACAACTTATAGGTCCTGGATAATAATCAGGTTGAGCATATGCATTAGATTTAACAATATCATTATAAGTACGTAATCCTGAAGGATTGGACGTGCTAGAGAAGAAATAAGATCTTTTTCTATTTCTGTTAATTAACGGTTTATATCAACTTTGATGGGCGAATTGGTTTTACTCGTTTTTTAATTGGTACGCTCGATTGTATTGATGATGCTTCAGGTTTTGCAGACAATGTTGCACCACCTAATGATTATTATTTATTTTTATATTTAGAATTGAATGATTTCGAAAATCTTTAATTTTTAGTATCAAAAAATAGTACATGACTACTTTTATTGTAATTAAGATATAAAAGTCAATATAATATTTTCAGTCAGAGTTTTTTTCTTACGTAACATGCCACTTGTGAGCTGAGAAAATTGAAAATTATTGACTCGTGCTTCATCAGCAATTGCTGTACATTAAGAAAAAAAAATATAATACATTCATTTATCATTTATGATTGCATCTATTACTTTTTTCTACTCGTGTCATTTCAGTTTTATGTTCGGGTCTTCCATTATTCCATAAACCGCCATCTGTAAATAATGTTGGTGGTTTCTTAGCCATTATTTTAAAAAACAAAACTAAGTATGTAATTAACTGAGTTATATAAACATGAATTGATCAATGGCTTATGTTGTCACTAAGCAACAACCTTCATTACGTTCCTCGAAAATTTTATTTATATCTATATGAAAATCAATTTTTGCCGTCCTACATTTATCAAATATATCGTATTATGTATACACGTAAGGACGTGATTTTTTTCCTCCGCTCATGTTATTTTCTTCTCTTCATCGATGTGTGTTTATTCGCTGCGCGTCCGTCGGTTATAACTCTATAATACAAGCAAGCGAACACACGCATCAAGATGATTAGAGAGAAGAACATTCTGGACAGAAAAAAGAAAGCAAGAAAAAGAGAAAAAGAAGAGAACGAGAGAGAGAAATAGAGAAACTCATTATAGTATGCATATGTGTGTCCCATGCGAACGCGCACACGAACGAACGAACGAACGAGCAATATCCATTTTCATTTGAACTCTCTTCTATCCACCGATGTGTCCGATCGATAGAAAGAAAGAGAGAAGGTCAACTACATATGTGTATGCATACACACGCACACAACATATCGAACATGAACCACCAGATAACAGGTTGTATAAATGAATTAATAACCTCAAAAACCATCATGTCATTATTATATCGATATATTTTTTTGTGTCATGCTCTTTTCTTTTTATCAGAAATAGAGAAAGATAAAACATGACCAAAAAAACATTAAAAGTCCGCCTCCGAGAGCATCTATTTTTTTTCTTTTATTCTTTATCATACAGCATGACAAATAATGATGTATCGAATAATAATTTTTTTTTCTTTTCTAATACTAATGTAATGTTTAGCTTTGGACGTAAACAATGTACATTTCTTTCATTAGGGCTTTTTTTTTATTATCCATTCTATGAAAAAGAACATATATGTAGACAGCTGTGTAGAAGGCCTATCGAATTTTTGATAATCATCATCATCATCATCAACGTTGAGTATCAAGAAAATACAAATGAGAAAGAGAGAGAGAGAGAGAGAGAGAGCGAGAATAGAAGAAAAAGAAAAAAAGTCTGATAGACTTTTCTTCGTTCTCTTTTTTTTTTCGCCTCCGCATAACCATTTTTTTCTTCTTTTACGCGCGCACCCAGTCTATTTTTGACATTAATGCGAACGCCAGTCAGCCTCGATCGTCATTGTATGAGTAGGTTTGCTTCTTTTTTTCTTCCGTTTCTTCTTCAACCAATCATGAGTGCCGTACAGGGGCGTGCTGTATAGAGCCTTTCTGTTTGTCTGTCGTCACTTTTTTTGTCTATGTATGTGAGCCCCACAACCCTTCATTCTTTCTCTCTTCACAAAGTAACATAAATACTGGTAGTCGTTGTCTCACCTTTTGCCAGTATTTATACAAATGTATATAATCTCATGTATATATATATATTCTAGTCTAAATACTAAAAATATATTTTTATTCTTTAGATTAGCTCTTTTTTGTATTTTTTTGTCGTTCCAATCGACACATAATTGCACATATCATGCCAAACATGATCATAACTAATCGAAAATCACCTGTAAAACAACAACGTATAAAACATTCACATTCAATACCTGTTGCCAATTCAAATAATGGTCGTATGAGATCAACTAGTAGTATGGCATCATCTTATCCGAGAATGTATAATAATAATAATAATAATAATAATCATCATTATCAATATAATTATTATTCCAATTCTACTTCACCAACTGCTATGTCAGCTAGTTCATTACCAGCTGTACCATTATTTTATTCAAATACATATGCTGATCCACCGGAATGTTCATCATTACCCAAACCACCTGATTCATGGTATTTACCATCATCTTCATCAAATGTTGATAATTTACCGGTTAAAACTGAAGAAAAAGTAGAAGAAGAAGACGACAATAAAGATAGAGAAGTTGAAAAGGAAACTGAAAAAGAAATCATTACACCAATCAAACAAAAACCCTTTATATCTTCTATTCAACAACAAACGAAACAAAATTTTCCACGTACATGTTATTATAAAAATAATAATCAAGGATTTTATAGTCCATATTATTCATCGAGAGCAACATCAGCATATCAAAAATTTCCAACACAATATGTTTCTGTTAAAGCTTAGATCTTTTTCTATTAGGGGGCAAGTGTTATCTTTTCTTTTTTTGGTTTCTTCTTCTCCAAAATTTATCTTTTCTTGAGAATGACTTTCTTCTTCTCAAACACATATCTTTCTCTCTAAAATTGTTTTGCTTCCCTCGTCGAAAGGTTTGATTTTTCTTCTGTTTTTTGTACAGTAATGCTTTGTCTCTCACGCAATCTCTTTCTATGTAAATGATGTATTTATGTGTTTGAGCATAGCAAAGCAGTATTTTGTACATACGGCTGAGCCTCTCTGTGTCTCTGTCGACGACGAGGACGGTGATCCTACTGTTTGTGTGTTTTCTTTTCTACTTATCAATCCTTCGTTTTTTTCCCATTCATTTCAAGACAAAGATATTGCAATAGTTTTCTTTTTCTCTATCTCTCTTTATGTTTAATGTCTATATATATGTATGTGTGTGTGTGTGAGCCGTCCACAATCACCATCATTATCAGTCGGAGGACAACAACAAGAGTCACTTCTAGTCTTTTTTTTTTTTCTTTGTGTTCGTTTTTTTTTTGTCTCTTTCAATTTTGATTCGATGCATTGTAAGCACGATTAGAATTAGTTCTTGTATTGTTGTTTCTACCGAGTTCGCCTGATCGACTGATAACAGTGAAAAATTCTGTTTGACACTAATTTATTAATGATATAGAAAAGTTGCCTTTGTTTTTCTTTTGTAAACTTTCTTTTTTTTTCTTTTTTCTCACTCAACTGTGATGTATGTATATTTGAACGAAATAATGGAAATACAATCTGAGAGAGAGAGAAAAGAAGAAAAAACTAGAACAAAAGAAAGTTTTCTTTTCTGTTTTTCGTTTTTTTTTCGATCTTGCGATTCACGGTGTATGTATGTGTGTCTTTGTGTATGTGTGCCATTGTATGTCTGTCTTCCTATTATATGTGTTTTTTTCTTCTTCTTCTCTGGTTTTTCTTAAAGTGCAGTCTTTCCTATTGTTGTTGATTTTGGCTTTCGCGATACTTTGTGACTCAAGTCAGATTGTTCATCAAGTCAGCGCTTCTACAACATTGTGGCAAAGTCTATTATCAAATTGTTAGTTTTTTTTTCTTGTTGTTTTTCTATGTTCGTGTTTGTCCATTTGTTTGAACTAAAGTACATGTCCTGTTGAAATCAGCAGTTTTTATTATTTGGGTCATGAGAACAATGGGGTGGGCCGAAAGAAAAAAAAATAGACTGAGTAAAGAATCTTATCAATTTTGATGATAAGATATTTGTAGAGAACAGTATGCTCTTGCTTTATATACATATTTGATTAAAGACCTTAAACAGATAATTTTGTAACACCTGGATGTTATAATATTTGGTATGAAGAAATGCCAATAAAATATTCCTAACTATAGAAGTGTGTTCTAAATAGTTTGACATTGATAAAAAGCATTGCGTCATAGATTATTCGAGCATCAAATAGATTTTTTGACATCAAAGAGCTATAATTATCTTTGTCCCTGTGTCATCAAATAACATTCTTTGTTTATCAGAAACACACTAATTATTTTCAACATTCTCTTCAACCATGATGAGATTATATGCCTGCCAAGATAAATCGATGATGCTCTTAGACATGAATAAAGCGAGTATAATACTCTCATTTATTCTCAAGCGAAAAATAAATACTAGGTCGTAAGCCTCCATTAAATATATTTCTCACGCTCCTTGATTATTCTTATCAAATTCAATAAGTCACATCACGTGTGATTTATTCATATAGAAATAAACATACGAAAAAGAATGATTTGTTATGACATAATGTTTAGTTTTATGATTGTTGAGAATTACCTTTTTTTTTTTTACCCAGAAGTATTTTTGAGTTTGAATAATCTTCTAGTCAATTTTATTTAAATAATGATTCATAGTAAATAGAAAAACAAAATCATAGAAATAAAAAACTGCAAACTCACACAAGGATAAAAATGTCAAGAGATTATTGTTTTCGGAGGGGAAAAAATTATGGGTTATATATATGAGATTATATAAATATAATACAATAGAGAAAAAACAGATCTGAATAAATGAAAGACATTGAAAAGTAATTGCATTTTATTATACTGTGCGATAAAGACTTAAAAGATTTCTTGTTGCAAGTGCTATACCATAGCAATCATCGATAATAAAGTGTATGGGTAGTATTAAATTTTGTTCTTCAAATTTTGTATGAACTAAAAGTTGTTGTGTACTTGTATAGAGCATATCGAGATTTGCACGAATATCTTCGTTAAATACTAACTGAAAAAAAAAAATATCAAAAGATGTTGGTTTTTTCCTTCTTAATTAACATACTCGTTGAGATAAATGGATCATATCTTGAACTAAAATATTTATTCGTTCAGCATATGTTGCATATCTAGAAAATAAATAAATAAATTTATTTAAAGATTTTGTTTTTCGAAGAATTTACTGATGAGTTTGATTTAGTTTAATTAATGTAAATAATTCTGCTATACGAGATGTAATATTTTGTGTAAGTTTAGTAATATCAGTATTGATATCTATTTGATTATATGAACCTAGGAAGATTATATTTCAAATATTAGAATTTTATTTTTAGAAAATAAAAAAAATACCTTGTCGAATTAATGTTGGTGATGGTATTGGTTTTTGTCGTCGTTCAGAACATGAACGAGATCGATAAATATTTACGGGAATTTCTTGTTTTACTCTTTGATCTGATATCATATTTTGACTAGGAGTAATATCTGATATATATTCATCTATTTGAGGAAATCGTTGTAGACTACGACTAAATCTATAAGAATTTATTGTCATCAATGAAAAACTAAATAAATAATATATGTTAAACTACCGTTTATCAAAACCATTGACTGTTGATTGAACTATGTTTGGTTGCGAACTAGTTGGAATAGAATAGATAGAGATTGAATATTTAATGAAAATATTTACTGTTCACAATCATCGATTAATGTTGTATTATCATAATCACTTTCAATGAATGGACTTGATTTACGACTGATATTATCAAATAATGATTGAGATAGCTAAAAGAAGAGACAAAAAATGATTTATAAGTATTTTTATAGATGTAATTCTAAGTCATGTCATCACACTTCAGTACTTTTTTTTTCTAAAGATATCCTCAAGGGCAATCTTTTTTTATAAAAATGAATTATTAATTTATAAGGAAAATATATAATTTCAAAGTCATAGATTAAATCTTTCTATTAAGAAAAAAATTTTACTCGATAAAGCATTTTATTTGTTTCATTGTTATTTGTAAAAGTCGATGTATTATTGAATACTTGTTGATCAAATTTATTTAAAACATTTTCATCAAGTAATCGTTGAATCTATTGAAATAAACAGAATGAATAATACATATGTATATTTATAAAGAATTGATTAGTACCATTTGATGTAATACAGATAATTCATGTTTTAAATCAATATGAGCAGATGCTAAATATTTAACTTGGGTTTCTGTATTTGTTATACGAGTTTTTAAATCATCGGAACTAAAATTTTGTATGATTTCATAATTTGAATTATCCATTGAATTTATATTCTAAATAAAATTATTAATTTCGATTTAATAAATAAAAATTTTGTTATGATTACTGTTGGTGTTGGTGTTAAATCCTCTTTTTTTGATTTTTGAATTCGTTTTTGTTGTTCAAAACTACTAGGATCTTCATCAGATGCTACTTTATCATAAAATGGTTCTTCATCCGAATTGATAAAAGCAGTAGTTAAATCATAATTTGGTTGTGATACTGCATGAACTATTAATTAATAATAAATACAAAAATATAGAGTTTTATTTATTCTATACTTTTTGTTGTAGATGATTGTTGAATAACATGAGAATATCGTCTATGAAATTCATTTAAAATATCGTGAATAAATGTATAGAATTCTTTAAGTTCATATCGAGCTAGTTTTTGTCGACCCTGTTTGATTATTTAATATATGAAAAGTTTTATTTGAAAAAAATTATACTTGATTTCTTGTTGCTGAAAATGATGGATTTACAGATAAAAATGGTACAACATGTAAAGGGATCAATGCTTTATCAACTTGTAAATGCCATACTAAAAAAGATTGAATAGAATTAAACTAAAAGAATCTCTCTGTAAATACTTGTTTTTAAATCTCGTCGTTCAATTTCATCGTATACATCCATTGCTAAATCTTCAAAAAGTGGATCAGTTAACTAAAATATTACACTAATAGTAAAGATTCATTAATTAATTGAAAATACTTGTTGTAGTTTTTGACGAGCTATTAAAGGTTGATTAGTTTTATCAAAACTATAAAAATATAAAAATAAAATTTATGTTTTTTATGATTCGATGATTTACATTTCACTCATATCAGGTACAAGAATATGTTGATTAGTTTTATGATCAGGTCGTTTTCCACCAATAAAACAAATAAGACGATCGGTTAATTCATATTGAAGCTCGATTAATCTATCAGCTAAATCCAAATAACCATTTGTCCTAAAAACGCTTTTATAATATATTCACAAGTAGTATTATTGAAATTTTACCTAGCATGTTCTTCTGGTGATATACCTGAAGCATCTACTATGGCAGGATCACCACCATAAATACAAAGAAGCTAAATAATATAATTTAAACTCAATGAATATGTTCTGGAAGAGATAGTTTTACTTCAATTTGATTCTGTTGACCACGACTTGCAGCTACATGAATAGCTGATGTACCCGTTTCCTATAAAAATAAAATCTGTTGTAAATTAAAAAGGCAAGAGACTTAAACGAACTGAATTTCGAAAATTTGGATCAGCACCTTGAGATAAAAACCGAAGACATGTTACAATATTATCTGTTCGAACAATTGAATGTAGTTGCTAAGAAAAATAAATAATTTAAATAAAAATATTGATTATATTTTTTTACTAAATTTATATCTTCATAAGTTCCATTGTTTTCATCTTTTAAACGATTAATATAAGCTAATTGTTGATATTTAGCTCGAATGAATTCAGCTTTAATTCTATATATATACACGAATAAGATTATTTATTGAACAAATCATTTAATTTCTTACGGAAGTGCATCTCTAGCTGTCGGTTTTTTTCTTGGTAATCGATTTTGTGGATCACGAAGACTATATTCCCAAATAAGATTAGCACCATGTAAGCTCAATTCATTAATCAACTAAAAAAAACATGTAGAATTTAATCTCGATTAAATAATATTTGATTTTCTACATTCAATTGTGTCGGTGGCCAATAACTTTGTTTAAAAGATTTTATTTGTGATATATGTCGACCAAGACTTAAATGTATACTACAACATTCATCACATAGAAAAACACCATGATTGATCGAGCACCAGTGAGGACCTTAGAGAAAGAAATTATATTAAATCCACTTTTAATCAAACCTAATAATCTACTATTTATAAAAATCAATTTCTTACTTTATAAAACATAATCAAATGATTAATTTATGAATATATTCAATAATTTTCTTTTGTTAACAATACATGAACAAATTATCACAGCACAAAATCATTCAAAACGACAATTTCTAATACTATTCATTCCAAAACAAACACATCAATCATTCAAAACACAAACATTTCTTGCACTTTCTTACCATGTTGTCCACAATCATGACATTCTTTGTTTATAGTTTCCAAAACATTAGGCATTCTATCAACAATTCATCTATATACGAAACAAAAAAATAATATAATCTCGATTTTTTTGTCTGTCCATTGTTTTATTTTCTTTTTAAATACAAAGACATGATCTATACATAATAAAGTGTGTAAATGATAAATAGAATTTATCCTGTTTGTCTATATGTTTTACTCTTGTGAAGAACAGAAGAAACAAAAAAAGGAAATGATAAAACAATACATACAAAGAGAGGAAAAATCACGTTCAATTTCTTTTAAATATCACCTCTCTTGCTTAGCAATCATTGATCAGAAAAGCAAATACGTACATTTTGCTTTATCAAAAAAAAAAAGAGAAAACAAATCAGAATATACAAAATCAAAGATATTATATGAAAGAATCTAAACTGAATTGATATTGCAATTAATGTTAAGTTTTTTTTATCATAACGATTATTTATAAACAATAACAAAAGAGTTTTAGAATGCACAAGAATATTTACATAGATAAGTAACAAGTGTGAAATACTAAAAAACAAATGATTGGTTTGGATGAAAAATATAAAGAAGACTTTCTATTCTCGTCGTATCCGTTTCTAAATAGAACAAAATAGTTGACTAATTAATTTAATTTAAGACTTACTCGTTCATTGGTATTATCACATAATTTGAAAAATTCATTTTCAAAATAATGAAATAATTTGTCGAGAGAATCTTCGGATGTTTTTGATAGATTATTATTGAATAATATTCTTTTTATATCAATTACTGATTTATAAAATTCATCTTTTGATGTTAAGATACCATTCTGAAAATAGAAGTAGTTAGTTTGAATAAAAAATAAGAAAATATTTACAATAAGATTTGTTTGAAGAAAATCAAAATTCGAAGATAAGTTTTGTTGACAAATCACATCAAGAAAACGAAAATCAGATTGAGAAAGAATATTACGAAGAAGACTAAAGCAGGTTTTTTTTATGTTCTAATATTTTTTTATTTATATATAAAGAAAGACATACCTGTCTGCTACTATTGTCCAATTTTCATCATGTTCAGATCGTTTTTTAGTTTCGAAACTTTGTTCATCATCTGTTGTATCCATCTTTTCTCGTTCTATACTGTTCTCATTATTAAAACATTGAATAGATTTATCTTCCATTACTGGTTTTGGTGTTGAATGTAAGGGTGAAGTTGGTGGTGAAACATTAGGTGTTGTTATTAGTTTTGTTGAACTCGAATTGTTTATATTATTTCGTGAAATAGGTATACTATTTGAAGATGATGTTGTTGTATCATTGATTTGTTCTTGTGAATTAAATGTAGTATCATCTGATTGTGTTGATGATAAACTTGTTTGTTGAACAAGACGTGTTGGTGTTAAAGATGATTGTTGACGATAATCAGGTGAAGAATTACTATTTGGTATATCACTATTAAGAATTGAAGTATTATTAATATTTGTTGGAGTATTTAATCGTTGTTGTAAGTCAGTAGATGTTTCATTTGAATCCGTTGTACTTGGTCGTGGCATGATCGCTCGTTCCTAAAATTAAGTAAATAGTTTTCGAAAGAGAATAAAGAATATATCATACTTTGTTTCGTTTCTTAGTTGTTTTAAAACAAGCAAGTACAGAAACGGAACCACTTGTAGTCGGAGTATTATGTGTTGGTTTAGGTTCATAACACATATTACTAGTAGTTGCCATTGATATTGGTTTAGACTCAGTTTTAATAGATTTATTTATAACTGTCGTTGAAGTAGGAGCTGTTGTTGCACGTACACGAAAAACAGGTACATCTGTAAAGAAATAAAATAAAATTTGAAAGATAATATAGAAAAATATACTTGGATTGACAGATGTCATTCGATAAATCATAGGTCCATGAGTTAATGGTGGTCGTTGAATTTGTTGTGGTTGTTGTTGAAAATTAACTGCTACTGATTTTATCATATCATCATGTATTGGACTTGTTCTTGTCGTAGTTACATTCAATAATTGTTGTTGTTGTTGTTGTTGAATAGTCGATAATGAACTTGAATTATCCGCAATAGTTGCTAAAAAAACATTCGTTTAGTTAATTGAAAATAATCTACGATTATACATATAAAAATGACTTGATATTCTATAAGTACGATTCTTAACATTTATGATGGTCTTTTCTCAATAAACTAACCACTATGATTACTATTATTAGGTGATTAACCTGGAAGAACTTTAGCAATCAGTCGATGCACTACTAAATGAACGGCGTCGTACTTTTTTTATAGTTGAACTATTATTATTATCATTATTTATCTCAGATGAATTCGTTAGAAAATATTGTTGTTGACTATTTGCTAATTGATTATTTGAATTTGAAGAAATAATATGAATGGATGTACCTAGTGATGATTGTTGTTGATGATCAGTTATATTTGTTGTTAATGGTGGTGATGATGTTGGAGATGTTGTTATTGTCACTTCTTGTGCTGCTTGAGGAATTTGATCAACTGTACATGTTGTTAATGTCATTGGCATTGTTGTAACAGGACGAAATGTTGTTGAATGAGATTTATTTGAATCATCATTATGTGTTCGTGTTAATTGTATTGTTGATGGTGTTTGAGATGGAATGACAATTTGAACATTTTTTGGTAAAGTTAATGTTGATGTTTGAGTAGAATTCATTGGTAATGTTGTTGATCGTGCTGTTATAGAATTAGTATTATTATTATTATTTGTTGTAGTAAATTTAACTAATTTAATAGGACTTTGCTGTTGTTGATGTTGTTGTGAAGATGAAGTAGATGTTGATTGATTTGATGTTGTTGAATGTGGTAGATGTTGAGTAATATTTGATGGTGAAACAAGTATTATTTTCGTATTACCAATTTGAATATTCGTTGTTGGTTTTGGTACAACTGTTTGAAAATTTAATATACGTGGAGCAACAATTAATGTTGGTGTATTTGTTCCTTGAATTGTTGAAATAGGATTTGTTGTTGTTGCTGGTTGAATTATTAATTGAGGATGATGTATTTGTTGTTGTTGTTGTTTAATAGGAGATGTTTGTTGATTCGAATTTCGTAAATCATTTGCTGTTGATGAAAGTAATGCAAGATCACTACGATGATAATCAAGTTTTGAATTATTTGATTGAGATTTCATAGTATTTGTGCTAGTGATATTTTTTGATTCTATATTTGTATTATTTCCATTATTTGGCATAGCTGTAAGCATATTAACAATATATGGTGCAGTATTACAAAGTGTTATAGCAACAAGTGTATCAACTGTTTCACGAACAATTTCTTCAATATTTTCTGGACCGGATTGTTGATTATCTTCATGATAATGTTCCATTGAATCATAATCATCTTCATCGTATTGAAAAGATTTAGTTCTTTGGTGTAATGATGAAAATTTTCTTGAATTATTTATATTTAAAATTCCACGTTTACGTGTTATTTGAAATGAATTATTCGATTGTGATGTTAATGAAGCTGGATGTGATGATGGTAAAACAGATGATATAATTGAACGATTAGGAATTGTTATTGTTGATTGGGGTGTACGATGTTGTAATTTTGATGTTGATGATAATGAACGTATTTGTGAAGGAGGTGATGATGATGGTGAAATTGAATTTGTTTGTCCATTAACACGAAGTAATTCTTTTTGTACAACTTCAATTAATGTATCTAAACTTGATTTACGTTTTGTTGCTTGTTTAGCACGAACTAGACGAATTACTTTCGAACCTAAGTAAAATGAATAGAACGTTTATTTCTTTATAAGAAATTGATTTACTGTTTATATCTGTATTATTAAAATTTTGTTTAATTGAATTATTCAATTGTTGTTGTGTTGCATTAATAATTCCATCATGTTTCATTTCATCATGAACAAGTTCTTGTAAATCATGATCTAGATATATATTTAAATAAAATATATTTATTACGATATTTTCTTTTCTCATACTTAGTTTTGTTGTGATTTTAGATTGAGGATATTGAATAATTGTTGTTGGCGGTGTTGTTTGTAATATATGTTCAGCTAAACGAATATATTTCGTATCCGGAGGACGATGAACAATTGTTGGACAATTATAATTAGCTTCAATTTCCCAATTTGTTGTATCAGACGATGAATTAATACTAAATGAAAAAGATTTTATAAGTGAAGAAAAGAAAAACGAATTTTAGAAATAAAACCTTGTAGCTATTTCAGATAACTGTTCATCATAACGTGCACGTTTTATTTCTGCAGTATGTCGTTCTCGGCTAATACCGAGTGTAGTTTGTAACACAGGTAAAATATTTAATTTATCTTCTGTAAGATCACCTTGAGCACGAAATGCAGAAACAATTTGAGAATAAGAATTTACACCTAAGAAAAGAAAACATTCGTTTTTTTACAGTAAAATATTGATAACAAGAATTTTACCCATATTTTTGATTGTAGCCGTTGAACGGCGTTGTAAAGTATCATGTTCCATATCTTCATACCTAAAAATAACATATATAAAAACATATTTTCCCACAAAAAATAATTTTTCATACTGTAATCACATGAAGATCAAGAGAATTTCAACAAGTTTGATGTCAAACTCGTCTTTTTTTGGAAGAAAAATAGAAGACAAGTAAGAAAATAAATAACCAAACAAAACAAGGTTATGTATATATATGTATATATATAGAGTATATGCGATTCAGTATCGATTATAAGCTATGCATTTATTCTCGTTCATCCATTCGTCGACATTGCTGTCATTGTGATGGAGCATTGAAGGAGTTGAGTAGAACCTCAATGGAGAATTATCGATGAAGTTTTTATGTTTTTTTTCTCAAAAAAAAGAAAGTTTAACATTAGAATTTTTATATTGATTAACAGAAAGTACTTGAGGTATATAAAGATTTTATTAATTGGATATAATATGATATACAACGAATCATAGAGGTCACTCGTTTAGGTATATATAAAATTTTAGATAGATTTAACAGATACTAACTAATTTTTCAAAGAGTAATATTATTTAATAATGTATCTGTAGTTATTCATAAGAGTTAGATTGCCGTTTCAAATTGATTTATCTCTATAGAATATGAATAGTATTGTTATTATTAGTTTGAAGAAAAAGATATATTTTATTAAAATATAAGAGGAAAAAAAGAATGAAAGACACAAATTAATCGCTAGTTTATTATGCGTATAATGTTCGAGAAAATCATTGTAACCATTTTCCAATAGTATCACTAATCGTTTGACGAGCTTGTCTTAATTCTACTGGATCCCATTCGGCATCTGGATACATATCAGCACAATGAGCTGTACCTAGAAAACAAATCGATATTATTATATTCAGAATGAACAATTATTATTATTTAACATACTTGATAAGAATATAGCACTATTATTATGTGGAGGATCTTTAGTAAAACTTAATGCATGCCATGGATCAATAGCTCCATTAACAAATAAAACTCTTGAACCAGAAAATCCCTCAGCACCATAAAATGCATTAGTAAAATTAATACCACGTTCAAGAAGAATATCATCAAATTTAGGGCCAAATATATCCGAACATTGTTGAACAAAAAATCTATATATACACATAAGAATAAATCATTCAATTTATATTAAAATTTTCTTACGAAGCTGGAAAATTATTTCCAAATGGTTGTTGAGGATCATTTGATGATTGAAAGAACCCAAATTCAACACATGTTTGATATGTCCATTGTCGACCACCTTCGGATGCTGATGCATTCCATGATGTTTGTCGTAATTGATTTATCATACTCATATAACCAGCATCAAGACATGTTTGACTATATGCTTCTAATAACATATTATTAACATTTGTCATACGTCGGAGAATGTCTGGTTCATTTGTATCAAGCATTGTTTTACATACAACATCAATTGTGATATTAGTTGCACGGGCACCCTAATTTATAAGAAAGAAATTATTGAATTATTTTAATAAATAAATTACTTCGAATGCTCGATTATCTTTATTATATTGAACAACACCTTCGAAATTACCAGTAACTGTTCCAAAAAAGTTATCAACATCATTTTGTGTTTCAATTGGATCACATAAACTATTATCAAGAAAAAAATGATATTCAAATAACTGAAGTTCTTTTCAAGTTACCGAAAAGCATTTTTTAAAGTTGCACGACCATCACTTGATTTTACCAAATCTTGCATTACTTTTATTGCACCACTAACTGCTTCATTACATTTTTCATCATAAGTTGCAAGTGAATTACGTACAACAACCAAATATTCTATTCATATCCGAAAAAAAGTGTATAGTTTTACATAAGAATATGAATAAAAACTAACCGCTAAAATCAGTTAAAGCAGTCATAGGACTACTAGCTGAAATAGCACCATGAACAAGATGTGGATATTTCAAACGAAACCATGCTGATAATGAACCTGGATATGATCCACCAAATGAAATCCACTTCGTTTGTTCTGATACTCCATATTTTTCATTGAAATATTCTCGAAATGTTGCTAAATCGGCAAGTGCTTGTTCACTAGTTAAATATCTTAAATTGTCTGTACTAAGATCTCTAAATAACAAAAAACAAAATGATCAATAATTTCATTAAATTCTTTTTATAGTATATACTCTGTTGGATGACTTTTTCCATAGAAACGATGTTCAAGCATGACACAAATTGCACCATGTGTTTGAGCATATTTTATCCATTGTCCTTCAGTCATCCATATCGGATCAGCTGGACCTTCACCTCCAATTTGAATAAAAACAGGTCCACCTTGTTTCCAGTGTTCACTATTTACAAAGAATCGTTGTTGCCATGTTCGTATATCAGCAGGATTAAAATGATCAAGTTGTTGTGTATACCATATTTCATCACTTGGTGATTTTTTTTGATGAAATATCAAATGAGAACGTCGTTTAGGTGCACCAACCATACCACCACGTGGTCGACCACGATGAAAAAGTGGAAGAGCATCAATTAATAATGGTACGAGAACTATGCCAATAACGAACAATTGTGGAATATACATGTTTGCCAAATAAAGAACAAAAAGAAAAATCTTATCTAAATTTATAGATATATATATATATGTAATGACTAGAATATTCTTTTGTTGATCTTAAAACAATGACAACGCTTAGATATTGTTAAAAATGATAAAGAAAAAAGTCTTTGTCAGGTCAAAAATGTAAAACTGTTGCTTCTATGAAGTATTACGAAACACCTGTTATTTTAGCAAAATATGAAATTTGAGATTTTGAGAAGACCTAATTTCTATTGTTAAAAAAAATTTATTATCTTTCGATCTTATTAGTAAATATTATATAGAAATAAAAACAATTACAAACAAAAACAATATGATTATATATTTTTAATCTTTATTCAATACATTACATAAAATCACTCATACGTCTTAATTCTCTTAGATCAAAACGATTTTTATCACGTCTTGCACGACGTATAATAATCATAGCAGGTACAATAAATGTAACAAAAAATAAAAGAGTACCAAGTGAAACACTAATAAAACACACAATTAATTGTTGATTTGTCCATGTTGGTAATGGATCTTTTGTTGAAATTATATACTCGTCATTTGTTGAATTGTTATTTTCATCAATAATAAATATTTCTTTTAAAAACAAAAATCAATAGAAATTCTTATTTGTTATTCATCAAAATTTACCTTGCGAATAAATACCAATAGATAGAAGATATTTCAATATAAATATTGATAGAACCAATTGAGAATTCCACATATGAATGTGATTTGTTATAGCACAATAAAACTAACAGCTGTCAATATATTTAGTCCATATACATTTGATTGACATATCCAAGCACATAAATTTTCTTCATGGATTCTTTTTCTTTCTTCTTCCCTTGTGATATACACAAATTATAGAACGATTAGTGTGGTCGCCTAATGTTCAGTAAAGTAATAATGTAAATGAACCATGTTTTACTTCTAACAAGTAACAAATGGTAAATGTCAAAGTCATTAGACTTAATCGATGACGCTTTTCTATAGTATAAATTAAGATAGATGATATATAAAAGATGTTAAAAGAAATCAAAAGTATAAAAAAAAATTCTTTTTCATAAAACAACAGATTTACGAACAGGGATGGCGCAACCGAAGGGTGTCGGGGGCGTAACACCCTCTCCCCGCCCCCTCCAGTGTTGGCTAATTCGCACCACCCCTGTTTACGAACATGTAATCTCTCTAAGGGTCAACACATTCTCATGAGAATAATACGTAATTAGTCGTATTGAATTCTGTTATAGGATTATTTATATAATATATTCATAGAATCTTTGAGAAAAGAAAAACATTTATTTTGTTTTACTCATTAAAATAAAGTCAGTTTCATATTTATTAATAATCAAATAAATTCATTTTTTTTGTACTCTACTATTTATGGTTTTATACAACAAATAGACAATATATATATCTGACACAATTAATAATTTGAGAGAGAACAAAAATAGTAGAAATCTATATCTGATAAAGACAAAGAAGAAGAAGAAGAGAGAAAAAACAACAAACAAATAAATTTAAATTGAAGCATGTTTACAATTTAAATAAGCAAAAAGATTATTCTTATCTGATTGATTATCTTTTTTAGTTTTTTCAAATAAATGAAATTGATTTTGTATTTGCCGTGTTAAACTAGCAAATGAATGATCATTACTATTATCATCATCACCACTTGGTAAATGATTACCAGTTAAAAATGTTTCTTCTGAAACAAAAAAAGAAAAATTCCAATGAGAGATATTGTTTTTTCAATAATTGTTTACCTAAAGAATTTTGTGTAACAGTATTCCATGAATAAAATTCACTATTAAATGGCTGTAGAATCCATTCATGTTTTTCAATTTCATACATTGTTAAACGATGATATGGCTGACGTATAAGTGTTGATGTAATTAAATCATAAAGTTCGTCTGAAATACGTGATTGAAGAAATTTTATATCTAATTGACAACGTTTGATTTCATCAGGATTTAAAAATGGATATCGACGAAAAATAATTACATATAATGTTACCATCATTGCCCATATATCAGCTACATATGGTTGACAACTATTTCAATAAAGAATATATAGTAAAAAACAAAAAATAAGATGAATATTTTTCCAAACCTTCCAGTTTGAAAAAATTCTGGACAACAAAATTCAGTTGTACCACCAAAATTACTTGTATACATATCTGCTTGTGTAATAGATATAGCTGAACCGAAATCAATAAGTTTGATATGAAATTGTTCATCAATAATTAGATTTTCATCTTTTATATCTTGATGAGCAATATGATTACGATGTAAATAACTAACAGCATCGACCACCTAAATGATTTTATAGAAACTATTGTAGTTGCTATTGAAAAATTTTACCTGTCGAAAAATATAACTTGCTAATGATTCATCAATTTTTGCACCTTTTTCAATAAATTCATACAAATCAATACCTTGACCATGTAATGGCATTATCATTTGAACATAATTATCTGTATCGAATGCATCCAATATCTAAATATAGAGTGTATTATATAAACATTTCATGATAAAACTTCTGTTTATTTGCTTTTATTTGATAAAATATATCTTACTTCGACAATATTTCGATGTTTTAATTGTTTAAGTACTGCAACTTCAAATAGAATTCGTTTTTTTGGTTCAAAACTTTCAACATATCGATGAAGTTTAATTTTAGTTTTTTTAATAAATTTAATAACAACTTTATTTGATTCATTCGATTTTTCATGACCAAGATAAACTTGACCATAACCTCCACGACCACGTTGTCGTGTAATAATATATTTTGAATCAAATGTTTGATTATCGTTTAATGATGATGATACATTTAAAAATGATGTTGATAAATCATCAATTGGTATTATTGATTGATTATGATCAAGTAGTTTTTGCATTTCAATTAAATGTGGATCAGTATTATCACGTGATAACCACATACAATATCTATATGTACCATCAGGTAAATCAAGACGACGTAATGTATATGTAACACCAATACATGTTCCATTTTTATGTTTACCTATTGTTTGAAGAAAAACTAGAAGATAGAAAAACAAAAAGTAATTTTATTTTAAATAAAAAAATATTATTTCAAACCTGCTTGATCATCCGAATCAATTTTAATCTCAGATTTAATTGCTGATTTTGTTACTGGTGTTGATGTAGTTTTAAATGACGATATACCATTTGTAGGTAATCTTTTATCAATAGGTAAAATATTTGATTGTAATTTTTCATTGATAATCTTATTTTCTATTGAATTAAAAATTCGAGCTGATTTTGGTGTATTATCAATTGATGAATCATTTAGTGTATTTGATGAACCATCACTTGTACTTGGTTCATCATCACCGATTAATGATTGACATGATAGATTTTCTTCATCATGATCATTATTTGTACTAATAGAAAGATTATTTGATTGAGTACCATTTAATTCATTGAAGTCTGGTATTATTTCAGTAATATTCTATAAGATAAAACAAAAAATAAAGTGAGAATTAGAATATTTAAAGATAAATTTCTTTATTATTTACATGATTAATTAAATCAAGTGAACGATAACCAAGTAAACATTGTATAAAATAAGGATTATATGCGCGAATAGAATATGTTTCATCTAACATAATTAATCCACTAATATTTGACATAATTGATATATTTAATTGAATATTATCCTCATTACTTTTTAATATATTTAACATTAATGGTATAAATAGATTTTTTTCACTATTTAATAAACCAGTTGTTCGATATGTTCGATGTGTTAATAATTGTTTAAATTTTAATTTATCTTTTAATGATGGAATAAAATCTCCAATATGTTGATTTTCATTTAAATGATTATTATCAATCATTGTATTATGAAATAATATTGAAAAATAATGATCCGATGAAAGAATTAAACCTTGTTTATCACAAGTTATATCTGCTTGCATAATATGTATAGGTTCAAAACCATAAAAACGTAATGGAACTTGATCATTATCAAGATCTTGTATGAATAAAGAAAAACGAGCACGTTCACCTGTACCAAGAAGAACATAAACAATTTTTCCCGCAAGAATTTTTGTTAGTCCACTTTGTTGACTTAAAAATGAATCTGTAACAACAGATAAAGATTTCTCATCAACTATTAAATTTTCGATTGTTTTATTTTTAAGTTCATTTTCTGTATACCAAAAATATTCACAAGCTTGACGATTAACACTAACTATTGATGATGTTAAACGATTAACAATAAGAAATGCACGAAATGGATTAAGACGATTATTAGGTAATGATGAGAATTGTTGTTGTGGTTGAGAAGTAAAACGAGGGGAAAATGATGGCTTGGGAGAGTAACATAAACGATCAAGATGTTCTGTGGTCATTTGTTGACATGATACCGTTGGTGGTTGATATGTTATTGAATGACATGCATTATCTAATATTCAAAAACAAAATATTATACACCCTAAAACACATTATTTTCTTACCAAACAAAAACTGTTGTTCAAAAGTGAAACCAGCTGATTTTGTATTATTTGATGGAGTATGAAATGTACGATGTAATTCGCCATCTTCATTGGATGATACACCAGGAAATGTTTGATTTAATGTATCACCGTACGTTGCCATCAGATGATGAACTTGTTATAAATTGAAAACAACAGATATAAAACAGAGAGACAATTTTCGTTTTTTCTTTGTATAGTATTCCATGATTTATCCATTGGAGAGAGCATTATTACCTATTGATTAAATATTGACCAGTAATGTTAATAGTTAATTTCAATTGGTCAATCTAATGTAATTCAACTTTTCGTTTCATATAGACTTTTCGGAATTCGATATCTACGAGTTCTTATTTTAGAACATTGTTCAATATCGATTATTAAAAAAATATATGCGTGAAACAAGAAATAGTATCAATCCATCTCAACAGCCATTGTTGAATGATGTAAGAAGATAATCAAATTTTCGATAAAATTTTCATTTTTTTTAATTTCTTCTAAGAAAAAGACAGATGTTCTTCAACAAGCTGTTGAACGTGAATATATTAAATTATTTCGTACAACACATAAAACTACACAAAAATCCATTCGGTAAGTTACTTTGAAAATATAAAAGTTCATAGTTCGCATCTTGTTCTACTATCACTTTTTTATTCAGCCATATTCTACGAAATGTGAATCAACGTCCACCACTACAGCCATTAACATTTCCTCTCCTAAATTCTTCTAGAGAATTCAATACTGATGATGATGATGATAATATTCAAACAATTTCAGTTACCATATCAGATGGTAATAATCAAAAATCACAAAAGAATACTACAATTGCTACAATAATGCCAACAGTATCTGCAATACGAGAATTAATATCGTATGTACCAACAACGAGAAATATAGCTACGCGTGGTGCTCTCATTGGTATTCCATATTTAGGAGATACATTTAATGCTGAAGATCAAAAATTGATTAATTCAATATCTGGTGAATCAACAAACCAAGACAACAGTTTAACACGCAGTATAAAATATCGTTTTTATATATAATAGTTCTGATAATTTTAACTTGTTTTTTTATTAGAAAAAAGACTCGATGAACAATCATTAGAAATACTCTATCAAACTATACGATCGAATATAGTTTGGGATACATATTCCAACGAGCAAATTATTGATGCAATACTTCGTAAGACAACAATATAAAAAATTTCATTTAATTCAAAGAAGACATTTTATTTAGATTATCATCGTGATATTACACCACGTACAAGACTCATCATTATTGCAAATCAAGAAGAAATTACTGGAGATAAACATATTCAGTATCCTTCAAATATTGATATATATGATACAGTCGATATTGATATTGATGATCTTATTATAAAACCATGGTGTTCTCGATTTTGTTCACGTTGTTATACATATAAGTAAGATTCATTCGAAATAATATCAGTGTATAAAGTATTTTGATATATATATATTTTTCTCTTTAAAATAGTTGTTTATTACACAAAGAAAAATCTTCTCATCTTCCATTACCTGAACAAATTTCTATATGTAATGATAATCAATCATCTCCCTGTAGTTCATCATGTTATAAACATGAACGTGAGCATTTAAAACGTTCTTTATCACCACCATCTCATATCAACGAAGAATCTAGTCATTCTCAAACATATCGTTCAATATCATCTGATTTAAATGAAAATGTTAATAAACGTCGACGAAAATCAACTCCATTTCGTCGTATATCATCGTCAAATAAATTAATTTATTCTCATAATGAAAATTTTCGTACTGATCTTTATCTTGATTCTCATTTACAATTAATTGAAAATCAAAAAAAATTAACCTCTCAACAATTATTATCACGTATAGAAAATCATATGACTAATACATCAGAACAACAACAACAACAAATATCTCTAGCTAATAATTGGACATTAACTGATCGAACTTTATTTCGTTTATTTTATTTTCTATTCGATGGTGATTTATGTGCAATAAAACAAATGTTTAATGATCATCGAACTTGTCAAGATTTTTATCAGCAATTTATCTTAGATACGAAATATTTCTCTAATCGAATAGTAGCAACAAATAATTTATCATTTATTATACGTCAACCCTATCGACGAAAAATGTTAGATGGTGCAACACGAGCTTTTCTTTTTCATATTAAAAAACATTTAAATAATAGTAATAATACTTTCAAATCAGCATATCAACCATGTTTACATGATGGACCATGTACATTATCAAATGAAAATTGTTATTGTATGAAAAATGGAACATATTGTGAAAAGTATTGTAATTGTTCAATAGATTGTCCACATCGATTTCCTGGTTGTACTTGCAAAGGTGCATGTTTATTAAATAATTGTTTATGTTGTGCAGAAGGACGTGAATGTGATCCTGATTTATGTCATAAATGTGGTGCATCATTATTTCTTAATGAAATCAATGATTTAAATCCAATAATTAAATCGTAAATTGATTTTATTTGAAAAATTAAAGAAGAAAACGAAAAGAAATATTTTTATCTTTATTTAGCGAACCAGAAACATCATTTATTGAACGAAAAACATTACCAAGTTTATCTCGACGAAATATAAAATTGAAAATGAATGGAAACTTACCAACAAGACAACATAGTCTTCGATCATGTCGGAACGTTGAACCATTATATAAACTAAATCGAAGTCAAACAAAACGTACAAGCTCAAGAACATCAATTAATTCAAATATATCATCAAATTTACCAATGATTACATGTGCAAATATATCATTACAACGAAAATTATATAAACAAATTCTTATTGCAGAATCTGATGGTAAATTTTCATTTGAAAATAAATTCTTTATCGCTTATTTGATTTTAGTTGCTGGTTATGGTGCTTTTCTTGGTTCTCCTGTTGCTTATCCAGGGGATTTAATTGCAGAATATACAGGAGAAATTATTACGGAAGAAGAAGCTGATCGTCGAGGTCGACTTTACGATAAACAAGCTTGTTCTTATTTATTTAATCTTGATGAAGAACGTTGTGTTGATGCTCGACAATTTGGAAATAAAATTCGGTTAGTTACTACACACAAACTAATTTGTTTGATCTATTCTTATCTGTTTAGTTTTGCTAATCACTCATCAAAACCTAATTGTGTTCCAAAAATAAAACTAGTCAATGGTAAATATATTCATAATTTGACTTAAATAAAATTTTAATATTATTTATTTTCTTCAAGGTGATTATCGTATTGGTATATACGCTAAACAAGCCATATTTCAAGGTGATGAATTATTTTTTGAATATATGTATGATGCACATCAACGTCAGCAATTTGTTAATAATGAACGTGTTGATGATTCTGAACAAGATGGTTTAATTATTCTAAAACGTTTTCCTGATAATTATATACTTGTACGACCATCATCTGATTAAATCTCGGTTATAATCAATATCTATTATTTCATAAATGTATTTATTTTTCTTCCTATTATGTCGATCTTTCAACTAAAAGTTTTTGTTTTATAAAAGAAGTAAACAATGACAAAGTCATATTCATAGCAACGTTCTTTTTTCATATAAATAATGATAATAAAACAGTGTACGATCAACAAAAAAACTGTATAGTATCTATTTTCTTGTTATTGTATGTAAAGAAATAAAATGAAAAGAAAGACTTATTTGATTTTGTTAAATTATCTTCAACTCATCGAAGTAATAAACTATATGTAAAGATACAAAAGGATTTTTTATAAGGGTTAACCGAAAGGTAATCGGAGTCGAAGAATTCAAATCTGACTTCTGATTTGTTTAATTGTATATATCAATAGCTTGGTAGTTGTTTAGTAACGCGAGTTCTACGAGAAAGAGCTGAGTGAGTCTTTTGAAGAGCGTCATTTATTGATTTATATGAACCTGAATTAAATCGCACAACACTCTCAGTGTCATTATATATGCATCCGAATAGGATAGAAAGAAGACTACTACACAAAATTTAAAAGAAAATATAAAACAAAAAATTAGTGTACTTTTTTTCTTGTTCTTCTCTTTTCTATTTGCTTCATTAATCTTTCGTTTTTTCGTTCTCTCATTTCTCTATCCCGCTATCTTTCTTTCTTTCTCTGTAGTTTTTTAACTGTTTTTAAAAATGAAATTATTTATCGCTGCTGTAATGCAGTGAAATATATTTAATGTTTATGGATAGGCCAGTCTGTTTTTTAAACATCAACACCCACACTCGTGATTATTGTACATATTTGAAATAGTTCACAAGATGCTAACAATCATAATACGTTTTAAGTTTGCATATTTTATTAGAATCGAAAATTTTGAAAAAAATACGCAAAAAAATTGAAGAATATTAAAAAAAAAAAGTTAAATAGTTGAATATATAAAGATAATGGAACTAACTAATAGATTATAGAAAAAGGACACTAGCTAGTGGATAAAGCATGCTATAATGTTCGATTTTTGGTGTGATGTATGTTTGTGCCATGTCTCCTAAAACGAAAAATAGTTAGTTAGTTCAATGTCATAAAGTCCTTCAAATGATAATCTCAAAGAAGAATGTACAAATAACGAGACAAAATATTAGAACTTTTTCTTGATCAGTTATTACCGACAGACTATCTTGATATAACATACCGGCCTTATTTACCAATATTCTATTTAAATATTGTGTTCCATTTGAAGCCAAGAGTTCGAGTTCATTACGTTGTGGAAAAGCACATGACAAATGCATAATTCATACCAAGATTCTATTCCAATATTCTGATCAGTTCAAAACAAAGATTTTGAGTTCAGTACATCGTGGAGGAGCACATATCAATTGAACATTTTAGAGCAACATTTTATTCAAATCTATTCTTCACTTAAAACAGAGATTCGGATTTTATCACGTTGTGCAAGACCACATGACAAATGAATAGTTTCTACGAAAATTCTATTCAAATAATTTCTTCATTAGAGAGGAAATATTTGGAGTCCATTACATTGACGAGGAGCATATGCCCGATGAATCATTCTTAGCAAGATTCTATTGAAATATGTTTTTACTTCAAAGCAAAGATTTCGAGTTCATCACATGGTGAAGGTACGCATAGTAAATGAATAATTCATACCAAGATTCTATTCAAATGTTTTTTTTCACGTCAAAGCAAAGATTTCGAGTTCATAAGATGGTGGAGGCGCACATGACAAACGAACAATTCATACCAGGATTATATCCAAATATTTTCTTCACTTCCAAGCAAAGATTTCGAGTTCATTGCATCATGAGAAACACACAAAAAATGAGCAGCACAAACAAAAACTCATTTAGAATATATTGTACAGTTCGAATCATCAATTTCGAGTTCATTACATGGTGGAAGAACACACCACAAAGGAATCATTCATAGCAAGACTCTATCCAAATATTTTATTTAGTACGAATCAACGACTTCGAGTTCACTACATGGTGGAAGAACATACCACTAAGGAGTCATTCATAATAAGACTCTATTCAAATATTTTGCTCAGTTTAAAGCAAAGGTTTTGGGAAGATTACATGCTGAACTAGCCCACAAACAATGAATAATTCATATTAATATTTTATTCATATGCTCTGTTCAGTCGAAATCAAAGATTTTCAGTTTCTCACATACTGGACAAACTCGTACGTAATGAATAATTCGAATCAGGATTTTATTCAAATATTTTGCTCAGTTCGAAGGAAACATTACGAGCTCATTACATGTTGGAGAAACACTCAACAAATGAGGAGTTCAAACAAACATTCATTTCAAATATTTTGTTCAGTTCGAGGAGTAGAATTCGAATTCGCTTGATACTAGAGGGCCACACCACAGATGAATAATTGGTATCAAGATTCTGTTCAGACATTTTTTCTTGTTCGACGGAAACATTTGTAGGTTATCAAAAGATGAAGGAACAAATGACATACGAATCATTAATACTAAGATCCTCCTCAAATATTTTCTTCAATTCGTAGCAAAGATTCCCAGTTCATTGTATCATGGAGGGAGTCACGAAAAATAAATAATTCACAAGAAGATTCTATTCAAATACATTGTTTAGTTTGAAGTAAAGATTTCAAATTCATTGAAAATTGGGCGAACACACGACAAATACATAATTCATATCAACGTTCTGTTCAAGTATTCTGTTCACTTCGAAACAAAGATTTTGCGTGCATTACATGGTGAAGGATTACACAGCAACTGAAAAATTCATACCAAACTTTTATGTAAATATTTCTTTCCCTTCGAAACATAAATTTCGAGTTCATTACATGGCGGAAGACCAACCGACAAATGAGTAATTCATAATAAGATCGCATTGAAATATTTCGTTCCGATCGAACCAAAGATTTCGAGTTCATTATATGGCGCAGAAACACATTGCAAATGAGCAGGTCAAACAAACAGTCATTTCAAATATTTGCTTCAATTCGAACCGAAGCCTTTCAGTTCAACACATGGTGAAGGAACAATGAACAAAGGAATAATTCATACCAATATTATATAGAAATATTTTGTTCAGTTCAAAGCAAAGATTTCGAGCTCAATACATGCCGGAGGAAGTTAACGACAGATGAATAATTCATATAAAGATTATATTGAAATATTTTCTACAGTACGAAGGAAAGATCTTCAGTTCATTACATGGTGGAGAAACAAATGATAAATGAATCATTCATATCAAGATTCGACTCAAATAGTTTGCTCACTTCGAAGCAGTCATTTTGAGTTCATTACATGATTGCAGAAAACACGACAAATGAACAATTCATAGAAACATTCTATTGATATATTTTCTTCAGTCGTAAGGAAAGATTTCGAGTTTAATACATGGTGGAGAACCAAACGGCGAATGAATCATTCATAAAAAGATTCTATTCAAATATTTTGTTCATGTTCGAAGCAAAGATTTCGAGCTCAATACATGCTGGAGGAACACACCGACGTATGAATAATTCGTAGCAAGATACTATTCACGTGTTTTCTTTAGTTCAAAGCAAAGATTTCGAATTGATTACATGATGGTAGAACACTAGATAAATGACTAATTGATACCAAGGTTCTATTCAAATAATTTGCTCAGTTCGTAGCAAAGATTTCAAGTTCAATACATGGTGGAGAAACACAACGACGGATGAACAATTCATAGAAAAATTCTATTGAAATATTTTCTTCAGTCGTAAGGAAAGATTTTGAGTTTAATACATGGTGGAGAACCAAATGGCGAATGAATCATTCATAATAAGATTCTATTCAAATATTTTGTTCAGTTTGAAGCAAAAATTTCGAGCTTATTACATGTTGCAGAAGCAAACAGATAATGAATAATTCATAGGAACATTCTATGCAAACATTTCGTTCGATTTCAAGCGCAGATTTTGAATTTATTAGAGGTTGGAGGAACACTCGACAAATGAATATTTGGAAAAAAAGTTCCATTCTAATTCTTTATCCACTACGAAGCAACGATTTCGAGTGCATTGGATGATAGCGGAATAAACGACAAATGAATATTTGATACCAAGGTTCTATCCAAATATTTTGTTCAGTTCGAAGCAAAGATGACGAGTTTATTATATGATGGAGGAACAAACGACGTATGAGTCACTAATAGTAAGATCTTACTCAAATATTTTGTTCGGTTTCACGTAAAGATTTCGAATTCATTACATGCTGGTGGAACACACGACAGATGAATAGTTAATAAAAAGATTCTATTCAAATACTGTATCAATTCGAAGCAATTATTTCGAACACATTAAATAGTGTAGGAACACACGACAGACAAATAATTAGCATAAAGACTCTATTGAAATGTTTTGTTCAGTTCGAATCAAAGTTCTCGAGTTCATTAGATGGTGGCGGAATACACGATAATTGAATAACTCGTAGAATGGTTCTATTGAAATATTTTAGTCAGCCAGAAGCAAAGATTTCGAGTTTAGTACTTGGTGAAGGCGAACACAACAAATGAATGATTGTCACCAGCATTGTATTCAAATATTTTGTTCAGTTCGAAGTGAAGTTTTCCACTTCATTGCATGGTGAAAGAACACACGACAAACTTATAAGTAGCATAAAGAATCTGTTGAAATATTTTCTTCTGTTCGAAGCAAAGATTTAGAGTTCATAACGTTGAGGACTGACACAGGAGAAATGAATAATTTACAGAAAGATTCTATTCATATATTTTGTTCAGTTCCAAGCGAAGATTTCGAAGTGTTACAGGTAGAAGGAACAGGCAACAAACTTATGATTTATAGCAAAATTGTATTCAAATATTTTGTTGTGTTCTAAACGAAGCTTTCGATTTGATTGCATGGTGGAGGAACACATGAAAAATGAGTAATATATAGCAGGGTTTTATTCACGTAGGTTGCTCAGTTGAAAGTAAAGATTCTGAGTTCTTTAAAT